CACCGTACCTCTCCTCAAAATGGAGCCGGAGATCCAGGGGCAGTCGGAACAGTAGAATGTGGAGCAACAAGAAGGACTATTCGTCCACCGGTAAATCCAGCCGCCTCAACGAGTTACAAGCCATCACGACTGGATTTACGATGTCCGTACGTAGTCTGGTCCGGTCCTTAAGTAGCGGGAGGCTTATGAGCTGCCTAACGTATTCGTCCGCAATCCGCCGGGCGTTGGCATACCTACCGGCGAGGAGGTCCTGAGCATTCTGGTAGGCGTCGTCCGACAATTTTAAATGTCCGACGACGCACAAGGCCTCCACCTCCAATGATGCCAGGAGGTACCCCATCTTCTGGCTATGTGTCAAGTCCCTCCGGGCGTCCACTAGGCTGTCAAACAGGCCGACAAAGGTCAGCCATTCGGAGAAGACCCCGGAGAACCTTGGCAGGTCCAGAGTTGAGAGTCGTCCTAACAGCTCCGGCTGAGTAGGCTGCTGCCGAGGGGATTCGGGCAGGCCACTCATCCGAGCTTCACGCGCTTCCTTAGCATGCTTGGCCCCCGCTTCGATCAAGTCGTCCGTGAGCGGAAAGAATTGCTCGTAATCCGCGAGGCAGGAGTCTAGGACTCCCTGTTCCGCATCATCCGAGGCTAATAGCTCTGTGCAAGCCTCCTCCACTACGGCCCTTCGGGCCATGACTTGCTTGAGCCGCTTCTCTAAACTATGGACCCGATCCGGTCGTCCTATCAAGGCATGAGCGTTGGCGGCGTTACGCAGCTCCGCCTCCAGGCGACGCGCCGGTAGCTTGTGCGATGGCATCACTAATAATTACAATTAATACGCGGCTTAAAAAAAATAATTTTTGTTTCTCTTGTACACGCACCTAGTTGCCCAGACTAAGGTCTACCATACAGGGGCCCATACAGCTGTTAGGTTCGACGGACAACTAAGTGTGGGGCTCAAATGCCTATGGATACCTAATATATATAGATTAGGTACTTAATTTACTTGACTTACCTGCTTCAGAAGCGAAGAAGTACCCCCAAGGCTCGTTCAGGCGTCAGGTGTAGTGAATGTAAGTAGTGTATGAGAAGTGTATGTATACTTAACCCGAATTAGCCTTTTTAATCAGCAGCAACTCTGACTCCGGCACCGCTCCCCAGCGTGGTATACTCCAGCAGCGGCAGCAAGGGACAATTTCTTTCTTCAATTCACTATGTCAGTGTATCAACTTTATTGTACATTTAACTAACTTCAAAACTAAACTAAATCCCGTTAATTATAATCAAACGTAACATGCAGTACGACCGATGAACGGTGGGTCAAATTTCACTTCCGTTCACTCCGCAACAAATTATTTCAAAAACCGAACGCGACCTTTTAAGGCACGTAACGCAACGGTACAACTAAACATTAACTTTCCAACAATTAGTCGTAGTTATGTAGTAACCTCCTCGTCGTTGCACAAATTTGATAACAAAATCCAAAAAACGACCTCACAGAATACCGGCGTGAAGTAGAAGCTCTGCTTCTGCGTTTCGTCTGGTGAGTGCAGGTGGCCGGAGGCCCAATTCCCCCCCCCCCCCACCCCCCATCAACATGGTAGCGGAATTACACGATGAACTACCCCAGGAGGGTACCAGTACCCCTGGAGAATCCCTCGCTGAGCATCCACGACCATGTTATTCCGATCCTGAGCGTGGGTGCTCAGGCTGCCCCGCGTATTCTGGGGGGGGGGGGGGGGGGGCAAAATTCCGCTCAAAAGCATAACTGCTAGGGGCAAACTGAGCAAGAACACCAAGGCGACCCCTGCCACGCTATCCGTGAATTTCTGCAACATCAGGGGACTTCCTCTAACCTAAACGCCGTCCACTACCATCACAAGACGGCGAAGCCGGCCTTGCTCTTTCTGACCGAGACGCAGGTTTCCTCTCCAGCTGATATTTCGTATCTCTCCTACCCGGGGTACAAATTGGAGCATTCCTTTGTGCCTCGGGCTGGAGTTTGCGTGTATGTCAGAGAGGACATCTGTTCTCGACGCCTCGGCAGTCTTGAAGGTTCGGACCTGTCCATCCTTTGGCTACGCGTAGACAGCGACGACCATCCGCGCGTCTACGGGTGCCTCTATAGGTCCCATAGCGGGAATGCCGAAACAGACCGACTCATCGACCACGTCCAAATGGCTACAGATTCCTTGCTACAACAGGTCCCATCCGCAGAGATCGTGATCCTTGGCGATTTTAACGCCCACCATGCCGATTGATTTTAACGCCCACCGGCTCGGTTCACGTCTAACCAATCATGCGGAGAGATCTGTTTATGACTCAGGTTTCCGTCGATACCCCTCTCGGCTCTTCGGACCATTGTCTGATCCGGAGTGTGGTGCCACTCACGCTCCCTTCGCGGTTGCGTTCTGCAGGTTGCCGCCGTGTTTGGCATTACAGGTCGGCGGATTGGGACGGAATGCGGTCTTTCTTTGCATCCTACCCATGGGGGCGGGTTTGTTTCTCGCCGGACGATCCCAGCGCTGTTGCTGACTCTGTCACTGATGTGGTGCTACAGGGAATGGAACTATTAATTCCATCATCTGTGATACCCATCGGAGGCAGATCTCAGCCTTGGTTTGGTCGCTCCTGTAAGACTGCATTACGCAGTAAGCAGGAGTGTTATCAAGCCTGGGCTGCGGCTTCGGCGACCCGGGATGTAAACACCAGCACACTTAAAAAGAAGTATAACTTCGCCTCCAGGTCCATCAAAAGAGTTATTGCCAAGGCAAAGTCAGAGCACATAGGCAGAATTGGCGAGAAACTAGTTCGCCTTCCTTTGGGAACCCGTGCATTCTGGTCTCTCGCCAAGGCTGTCCAAGGGAATTTCAGTAAGCCATCACTACCATCTCTTCACAGGGAGGATGACTCACTGGCCTATGACGCAAAAGACAAAGCCGACCTTTTAGGCTCCCTTTTTGCGTCCAACTCGACTCTTGATGACGGGGGGAAAACACCGCCGACCATTCCGCGGTGTGAGCGCTCCATGCCGGATGTGCTGTTCTCACAGCGCTCGGTTCGCAAAGCACTGCTCTCCCTGGACATCCAGAAGTCGAGTGGGCCTGACGGAATCCCCCCAATTGTGCTGAGGACGTGTGCTCCGGAGTTGGCACCTGTCCTAACGCGTCTTTTCCGGTACTCCTACTCCCAAGGCGTAGTCCCGAATTCATGAAAGACAGCTTTTGTCCACCCGATCCCTTAAAAAGGCGACCGCTCAGACCCATCCAACTATAGGCCTATCAAGATCACCTCCTTGTTCTCCAAAATAATGGAATCCATTATTAACTGCCAGCTCATCCGGTACCTTGAGGATCACCAGCTGATTAGTAACCGTCAATACGGTTTTCGTCGGGGTCGATCAGCTGGTGATCTTCTGGTCTACCTGACCCATAGATGGGCGGAGGCAGTAGAGTCCAAGGGGGAGGCGTTGGCTGTTAGTCTAGACATTGCGAAGGCCTTCGATCGGGTTTGGCACAAAGCGCTTCTTTCGAAGCTCCCTTCCTATGGGCTTCCCGAGAAATTGTGCAATTGGATCACCAGCTTCCTTGCAGATCGGAGCATCAAGGTCGTTGTAGACGGTGCATGCTCTGACTACAAGCCTATTAACGCTGGTGTTCCACAACGCTGTGTGCTATCACCAACGCTGTTTCTTCTGCATATCAATGATAAGTTGCTAACTCGTAACATTAATTGCTATGCGGATGACAGCACTGGTGATGCTCTATACACCGGCCGTGCCAATATTTCTCGGGAAAACGTCGCTGAGTACCGGAACAAACTTGTGTCTGAAGTCGAGTCTTTGCTGAGCAAAGTCTCGGATTGGGGGCGACTAAATCTAGTCCAGTTTAATCCTCAGACGACACAAGTTTGCGCGTTTACCGCTAAAAAGAACCCCTTTGTCGTATCTCCTCAGATTCAAGGCTTTCTTGCCTCAGCCAGTATCGGTATCCTCGGAGTCGACATATCGAGTGACGTGCAGTTTCGTGGTCACTTGGAAGGGAAGGCCAAATTGGCCTCTAAAAAGCTTGGCGTGCTCAGCAGAGCGGGACAGTATTTCATGCCGGCACACCGCCTGCAACTTTCTTAGGCGCAAGTTTGGCCTCACATGGAAGACTGTTCCCATCTCTAGGCAGGGGCTCCCCAGTGCCAGCTCCTTCCACTTGACCGCATCCAACGCAGAGCTGCGCGAATCGTCGACGACCGAGCCCTTTCCGATCAGCTCGATTCATTGGCACTGCGAAGAGATGTTGCATCCCTTTGCATTGTCTTTCGCATCTACCATGGGGAGTGCTCTGAGGAATTGTTCGGATTAATCCCAGCCGCCAAATTTCACGAACGCACATCGCGGCAGAACTCCCGATACCATCCACACCATCTGGATGATTGGCGGTCCACCACTGTGCGATTTAGAAGATGTTTTCTTCCTCGCACGACCTCCTTGTGGAATCGATTACCATCAGCGATTTTTCCGGACCGATACGACTTAGGGACCTTCAAGAAAAGAGCGTACTCCTTTTTAAAAGGCCGGCAACGCATCTGCGATACCCCTGGTGTTGCAGTTGTTCATGGGCGGCGGTAGTCACTTACAATCAGGTGAGCCGCATGCTCGTTTGCCCCCTCTCCTATAAAAAAAAAAGCTTAATAATTTCTTATATTTACGCGAATTATTTATATAGTTTTATTTAAAAATCGACACTATTAGAGATAACCACTATACCAATTGACGCTAATTAATTGTAACGACTTAATTAATCGCTCAAACTCAAGATTCCGCATCGTTGACACGTAAAACAAACAAATAAACAACGCAACAATGAGAGGCGCTTAGGGTAAGCGCGCACTACGGTACGGCAAGTTGCGGTTGCGGTTTTATAACTGGTACGGCAAAATTCTGAAATGGTTTGCGGCGCGCACTGCGGTGAAACACCCGCAAGTTTTGCCATTCGTATAGCGGGAGGTCGAACAGCATGGACTACGATACCAGACTCCGAATTTGCATTTATTTAATATTAACGGCAAGAAAACAGAAACGCAAGCACTATTGGGTTCATCCATTAACAGCAATGAGACTTATGAAGGGCTTTTTCTATATGAGATATAATGATTTACGAAAGTTTCCAAAAAAGTTTTTTGGATACTACAGAATGAACATAACGACCTTTGACAATTTAAAAACAATTGTTGGTAACGAAATCTACTACAAGGATACGAGTTGGAGAAATGCGATATCAGTGGAGGAAAGGCTTTCAGTTACGTTGAGGTTAGTACCTACATTTACCGTACTTACATACTGTCCCTTGTTGCGTACTGAATCCACTAATCTCGCTGTTAACTACAATGACGGTATTGTATTCATAAATAAAACAAATCCCTTTTTTTCTTTTATTATTAATAAGTAAGTAATATGCGAAACAATCACAGGAATATCACCACTTCTTACTTATGGTAAAATAAAAATAATTTACTTAGCAAATGGAGATTAACTACGCTTGAAGATTAAAAAATCTTTCATTTGAACGCCATTCCCTCGTCCTACGACAGGAGATGCAGTATCAGCGGAATATATTATTTCGGCGAGAGTATTTTCAGATACTCGTATGTTGGCTGGATTCCGTTGTGTATTATTTTCTATTTTCATATGTTTCTCATCATATACTAGCGTTGCATAATTATTGGGGTCATTACAAAAGTAGCCTTGTTTCATTTCAACAGACATCATGCTTGTACCTATTGCTTGATTCCCTAAAGTTGAAGCTTGAGCTTGCTGTGGAAGAGGCTGAGATGTGGCATAATTGGGGCTAGGAGTTGGAGACATAACATAAGCCGGAGCCGGCTGTGGAGGAGGCTGAGATGAGGCATAATTAGGGCTAGGAGTTGGAGACATAACATAAGCCGGAGCCGGCTGTGGAGGAGGCTGAGATGAGGCATAATTAGGGCTAGGAGTTGGAGAGATAACATAAGCCGGAGCCGGCTGTGGAGGAGGCTGAGATGAGGCATAATTAGGACTAGGAGTTGGAGACATAACATACGCAGAAGCCGGCTGTGGAAGCGGCTGAGATGAGGCATAATTGGGGCTAGGAGTTGGAGACATAACATAGGCTGGAGCCGGTGACTCCGATGTTGATGGTGGTGAAGGAGTATAGTTAGACATGACAGATGACATTCTTCGGCATGAGTCTTGTCTGTATGGGATCCTGTCGTAACGATTAGGTTCTGAAGCTGAACCATACTGGCTTTGCGGTCTTTGGAACTCCGGTGGACGGTAACGTTTGGCAATGTTTAATATACTTAAAATTTCGACTTTTGCGAAGTGCTTTTGGCCGTCATTTAATTTTTTTAGTAGGGGTACTAACATTTCCGTGAAACTAATGTCTTCATCATAGGTTTTTTTTTGTCGTATGATGTCTAAAAGTTCTTCATTTCTGTCTGTTTCACGTGCCTGAGTTTTTTTGCGGGCTTGCTTCCTATTTTCGCGTTCGACACTATTATTACTGTCTTCTTCAGAATCCTCCACTGATATATTTGAGGTAGTTTCTCTCTCCAATGGTTGAGAAACTAAAAACGAAAGGGCTTGAAAGTGAACATACGGCCTTCTTTTTTTATATCCTTGTCCAGATTTGCCCTTCTTCTGAACTGCAAGTTCTTTTGCAAAAGAATCTTTCAGGTTACGCCATTTTTTTTGGATTTGTGTTCCTGTAATAAAAAAAGAGACAAAATTTTACTACTTGTAGGTATTTTAGAGTAGTGGTAGTTATTCGATTTTATGCTTAACCGTAGACGAAAATATAATTCGAAGTTCAAATATATTCTACCTATTCTGAATCCCTGTATATTATTTGTTACAGGTACTTAGCATCGGGGAACAGCATCAACTCACTTTATTATGAATATCTCATTGGTGCAACTACAATCCGGGAGATAGTGGAAGATACATGTGAAAAATTTTGGGAGTGTTTACAACCAATATACATGCAAGAACCTGATGAAGATACTTGGAATACTATTGCAAAAAAATTTTATAAGCGCACAAATTTTCCCAACTGCTTGGGTAGTGTTGACGGGAAGCACATTAGGTGTAAAAAACCTGATAACGCTGGTTCTCAATATTTTAATTACAAACAGTACCACTCAATAGTATTGATGGCGGTAGCCAATGCAGATTATTCTTTTGTGTCAGTGGATGTTGGAGCTTATGGTGGGAATAGTGACTCAAAGATTTTCAAGAATTGTAATTTCGGGAAAAATCTCGAAAGGACTCAGTTAAACCTTCCAGAGTCAAAAACATTACCAAATGATGAAGATGGAAAAGTGATGCCACTAGTTTTTGTTGGAGACGAGGCGTTCGCGCAGTCGGAACATGTTATGAGACCATATCCAAGACGGAATCTCACAATAACTCAAAGAGTTTTTAACTATAGGCTTACACGAGCGCGAAGAGTGGTAGAGTGCACTTTCGGGATACTCACCAATAAGTGGAGAATTTTGTACCCTGCTCTAGATGTTAAAACGACTACTTGTGATAAAATCGTAAAAGCTTGTTGTATATTACACAATTACGTACGAAAACACGATGGAGTCAGATCTAGAGATGAATTGTATGGGACTCAGTTAATTAGCTTCCGTCGAAACCCCGTCAGGTCAACCATAAACAGCCTTCAGAATAGGGATTATTTTGCAAATTATTTTACTTCAATTAGAGGTTCTGTCCCATGGCAATATGATAAAATATAATTGTTAACAAACGTGACAAGATATAATTTTTTTACCGTACTTTTATAACTATGTCATATTAAAGTATGTATTTAAAAAAATATAAATAAAACTATAAAAGTTGCGTTCTAAATAAACAGATATAGAAACAGTATTTTAATTTTAGGGGTGTAATAAAAATAAAATGTTGCCGATTGTTGGTAATAAACTCTAGTTTCCTGTACCTAAAAGGTTATATACTAGAAATAAAAAAAATCTTACTAATTTTTTGTTTTTCTCTAATTGACAACTCACTCCAGTTTTCTATAATCTTCTCATAGACCTGGTCCCACATCTTTGATTTTAAACCTCTATCTGCATATCCTTTATTACGAGGGTGGATTGAAAAGTACTCGGCCTAACACAGATCCATTCAATTCTAAAAATCAAATCTACTCACATTATTTAGTTCAGTTCAGACTAGTTCATTGTGTGAAGTTCGAAACGTGTGCGATAATTAGTTGTGATTTTATAAATTTATTAACAAAGTAATCGGACATAATTTCCGCGAATGGAGCAAATCGAGCAGCGTGCCGTCATTAAGTACCTCCATAAGAAGGGGCTATCATCAAAAGCCATCCATGATGACATGGTCAGTACATTAAGCGATTGTGCTCTGTCATATTCATCCGTCAAAAAATGGATAACAGAATTTAAGCGTGGTAGAGAGAGTGTGAAAGATGAACCCCGCTCTGGAAGGCCTTCGACGTCAACTACTGACGAATATATTAAAAAAGTACTTGATTTAATAATGGGAGACCGCAGATTAAAAATTAGAGAGATAGCCGAGATTATAGGCATCTCTTATGAACGAACTCAAAACATCATTGTCAACGAGTTGGGTTTCCACAAGGTGTCTGCGAGGTGGGTTCCGCGACTGCTTTCAGTTGAACAAAAAAGGACGCGATTGACTATTTCACGCGACTGTTTGGAGTTATTTGAAGCCGATGCAGATGATTTTTTGAATCGTTTTGTTACTATGGACGAAACATGGGTTCATTACTGTACACCGGAATCAAAACAACAATCAGAACAGTGGAGAAGACCTGGTTCACCACCCCCTAAAAAGGCTAAGTCGATTTTGTCGGCAAATAAGGTGATGGCTTCAGTATTCTGGGACTCGAAAGGTGTGATTATGATTGATTATCTTGAAAGGGGTCAGAATATAAACTCTGATTACTACTGCACCTTACTACGTCGTTTACGAGAGGAAAGAAAAGAAAAACGTCGAGGAATGCTCAGAAGAAAAGTCCTGTTTCATCAAGATAACGCCCGTGTTCACACGTCAGTACAGTCAATGGCTGAAATTCACAACTGTGGCTTTGAACTGTTACCGCATCCGCCGTATTCACCTGATCTGGCACCATCAGACTTCTTTCTGTTCCCTAACCTAAAAAAGCACTTGGGAGGTCAAAGATTTTCGACAAACGACGAGGTCAAAGCAGCTGTAGACGCATATTTTGACTCTAAGGAAGAATCATTTTTTTCAACGGTCTAAATGCTTGGAAGGGGAGGTGGCAAAAGTGTATTGAACTTGATGGTGATTATGTAGAAAAATAAAAATATAACTGATTAAGTATTTGTTTATTTTCTTGGTTAGGCCGAGTACTTTTCAATCCACCCTCGTACTTTTATCCCAAAGTACGGGTCGGCTTTGTACTTCCACGATCAGTGCGTCAATATTTACATCGGCGACCGCTTGGGCCTCAGCGTCGTCGGACGCGCTCGGCGACAACATCTTCTCGTGGCTGCTCGTCCACTACTGACTACCGCGCGCTCCGGTTTTTCTGCCGCAGTGCGCGGTGTTTGATACAAGTTCATAGGATGCAAAAAAAACGTGCGGCGCCGCACCGCAACAAATCTGTGGCAAATCACAGATTTTTTAGCCGCTTGCGGTTGAACAACCGCAATGCGCGCACCTCTACTGTGGTTAATACAACACATATTTTTGCGGGAGCAAACCGCACCGATTGTTGCCGCAGTGCGCGCTTACCCTTAATTCGACGTTATAATTCCAAACACGTTGTTAACAACCGGCAGTTCCTCACAATGAATCTCTCAACGCGTCTCGATTGAAAACGCCGGCGATTGGAATGCGAGCGCCCGGAGGGGCGGAGGTGACCTTGCTATGGCGCTATGCACACTCCGAGCGTGCGTTGTGAATTCAATTTTCAAACGGTTAATATTTCGCCTAAACACCTCTTATAGCTTTGTCACGAAACACGGTCAATATACGGCCGATGCATTTTCATTTCATGACCTAAGCTTTCTATCTTGTAAAACCCGATAAGACATAAATTATATTGCAGCGTAATTTTGGTGGCATGGATATAGACAGTTCTTCGTAAGGATGCGTTGCTTTGAGACTGGTAAAATACTCGTATTATAGAGCGGATAATCTAGATAATTAAGTTTCAATCTTTAATGCTGCCGTTATAAAATTTTTGAAGTGCCTGCACCTGTACGCATAGTCAAAATTATACATCATCCATCACCTTGGCTTATTGACGATATTAAACCTATTATCCATAAAAAATCTATATCTAAGGCTAAGTTTAAACGTAAGCCGAATGCGTTTAATAGGAAAAAGTACATTAACATTCGCAATCACTGCAATAAGTTGTGTAAAGATGCTCAATATCTTCATATTCATAAATCAGTCAAAAATGGTATTACAGCAAAGGTCTTAAACGTTCTTAAATCATTGGATGTTGGGAAATCTTAGAATTGTCCAACGACAAACGATTTAAAAGTAAATTGTTTAAATAAACATTTTTCTTCTTCGTCCTGCTTAGATAGCACTACTAAGGCTAATACACTAACATATCTTTCAACTAGTCACACTTTCAATCATTCTTTTTTCGTTTCAAACTATTCTCTGCTTGTGACCTTAAGGTTACAGGCAGAGAATGGTTCTTCTTAGAGAATAGATATAAAGCTCTTCTTAAGAAGAGCGTTCTATCTATTACTTCCAATGCAATGGGAAGTGACTGTGTCAGTCATAGCATGATTCTTGCCATTCTTGATATTATTCTTTCTTTTATTTGTCATATCTTTTATCATTTCCCCAAGTAGTCTTCCATCATCTTGGAAAAGCGCTCAAATTATACCTATTCCAAAGAAAAGTGATCCTCCATCCTTTTCTGAATACTCGTATCGTCCTATCTTTTTACTGTAAAGTCCTTAAACGCCTTGTTTGCACCCAGTTCAACAGTTTTCTTTGAGCAAATGCTCTTCTTAATCATTTACAGTCAGGATGTAGACCTGGACACAATACTATTACAGCATTGGTAAACATCATTGATGATATCCGATTAGGAATGAAACACGGTAAAGTAATTGTACTTTGTTTATTAGATTTCAGTACTGCTTTTAATTCTATTGACCATGATGTCCTTCTCGGCATAATGCGCTCTCGTATCTCCAAAAGCGATTAGTTGGTTGCAGAGTTACTTATCTGGTCGCCAGCAACGTATACGTATCGACTTAATATCCAATAATTTAACTTTTTGCTACTACCTTTATGCAGATGATCTACAAATACATACAAAAGCTTGTCCCAACGATCTCCCCAATACTATAAACGCCATAATGCAGACCTTGATCAAATTATTGAGTGGAGTAATGCATAAGTCCTTTAAGTTAACCCAGCAAAATCGCAAGGCATTATCGTGGACAGCCCCCAATGTTGGTTAAGTCGAGCCTAGGTTACCTGCCTCTTATAGTATTTTGTAAAACTATCATTCCTTACAGAGATTCAGTAAAGAATTGGGGATCAATATAGATTAAAATCTGACGAGGGGACAGCATATTAAAGAAATCAATTGTAAAGTTTATGCCTCGGCAGCCTCCTTGCGTAGACTACGTATCTTCCTTACCATTTCCACCAAAACTATGCTTGCCAAATCCCTTCTCTTTCCTGTTTTTGATTACGCAAACGTATGATATTTAGATCTCACCGAAGCTCAGGTCGATAATCTTGAGGGAAATCAGAATTTTTGCATAAGGTTTATACTCATATTTGGATTGCTCAAATATGAACATGTCGCCCTTTTTCATACTAAGCTCAAGTGGTTGCCAATACGATTTCATCGAAATGATCACATGCTTTATCTTCTCTATAGTGTTCTCTTTAATTATTCTTACCCTTCTTACCTCGAAAATCGTTTTGAGTTTCTTCGTGATTCCCATTCTCGTAACTTGAGATCAGCAAAGAGCCTGAAGTTGAGTTTGTCTTGTCACACTAGAAAATGTATGAACAAACTACCATTGGCAGTAAATCGCATACCGGTATTTAAAAAACAAGTTAAGAATCATTACCTCGCGTTTTATAATTTTTACTTCACTTCCACACTCGCCATTAATATATGATATACATATATATATATATATATATATATATATATATATATATATATAAATATATGATATACATATATACACATATATATATATATATATATATATATATATATATATATATATATATCAGGTATACCTCAAAACCTGAAAACGAAATTGTACAACCAGTGCGTGTTGCCAGTGATGATTTACGGTTTTGAGACGTGGTCCTTCACTGCAGGCCATATGAGGAAGCTCAAGGTCGCTCAGCGAGCTATGGAGAGAGTGATAAACTTAGAAATGAGGATATCCGCAGCAGAACTAGAGTGACCGACATAGCCCAACGGATTAGTTAGCTGAAGTGGCAGTGGGCCGGCCACATAGCTCGAAGAACCGACAACCAATGGGGAAGAAAGGTTCTCGAGTGGCAGCCGTAAGTGGCAGCAGTAGGCGAAGTGTAGGGCGACCCCCCACTAGATGGAGTGACGCCCTGGTAAGACATGCAGGAAGTCGATGGATGCAGGCGGCTCAGGATCGTGCTTTGTGGCATTCCTTGGGGGAGACCTATGTTCAGCAGTGAACTTATGAAAGGCTGTAATGATGATGATGATGATATATATATATATATATTGCGAGTGCGA